AGCTGAACCTGCTGGAGGATGTTTATCCATCAGAGTCCTGGCTCCACAGGCGGCTATGGACAGGGTTAGGTGTAACTGGTCTTCTGAAGGTGCTCAGGCTCTCTCAATGAGTGAACAGAGAACGTTGTGGAGTTATGTGGCCACAGATAAATTCATCCACTTCAGTCTGGCTTGTCTGTTCCCCATCTTACAGAGAGAAGCTCAAAACTGAAGGGTTTGGTTGCAAGCTGCAATGGAAAATTAAATGCTGTGTTTGCTGCGGAAGTCTAATTTTGATCTTGAAAAGCAAGAGAGTCTGTCTGTCATTGGTCCATCTAGGTCAGTAGTCTGTCTTATAGTGGATGCCTTATGAAAGGATTTACAGTAAACAGAATGACTGGTATTTGCTCTGTTATATACTCCTAATTTCCATTCAATTAATAATTCCAGTCCCTCTCTTTTCAGTCTACTGACACCACCTCTAACAACCATGGCAAGAAGGTTCGCAGTTCAGTTTACAGTTCAGTCATGCTTTGGGGGGAGGCAAACTTCTTGTTGCAAGATTGTTGCAAACTGTTCATAATTTAGTGACATTGCTAATTGTAGGAAAAACTAGGGACAAAGACTTCTTTTTCTGAAAGCACTTGCAGAATTAATAATTTCCAATTATTATTAGGGAAGCATTTAATTTTTAGGGATGCCCTCTTTCTGAGACATGACGTTCACAGTAGTAGGATGGTGGCAGAAAGTAATTTCCTGAAGCCATTCTGTTAATACTTGTATGATTCCATAAGACATTGAGAGAGATTTGCCATGAAAATAGTTTCACCGTTTAGGGAGAGCATTAACTTGTGCTTAAAAATACATTATCAAGGTGCTTTTTTCCTTCTTTATTTTTCCCTTATTTTTGTGCTTCCCTGCCCCTTCTCCCGACTGCTGTTCCTCCATCAGCATTGGGATATTATCATATAGAAGAATAATCACAAGACTCAATCCTATTGATACTTCCTGTAGTGAGGAGGAAAACTGACCAGAAAATTGTTTCAGTAGTTTTAATTAATTATTTTTTTAAAAAAAAGAGCAAGGAGAAAAAAAAAAAGAAAATGAGAAAAAGGAATTAAATGTTCCCCTTGTGAGATGATGCTGAAGACAGAGCTGTATGTGTCCACTTTTGAGTCTTGCATGTCCTAAACGTTGGAGCACTGAGAATATTTTCAAAGCTGTAGTATCAAAGTAGCTAATGGAAACATGGTTTTAGAGGTTATCATACTGAATTCAGTGCAAGGTACCATGCAAGAGAAAAATTGCATAAGTGTTTAAGTGCGTGCACATGCATTTATATTTAATTGGGGAACATTTTTTGAAGTGGAAAAATATGTGTGTACTTAAATGTGACTCTTTTATCCTCAATGTACTGCCTAAATGTGTTTGTTCAATCTTAGAAGACATCAGAAAAGCAAGTTGATACAACTTGTAGTTTCCAGATTTTTGTTTTTGTTTTTTAAGTGGGGAAGATGAGGACCCTCTTTTTAGGGTTCATGTACCTCATATGCAAGCACCAGTAAAATAAACAGCATCAGACCAAAACTTACTTTCAAATCCCGTTTTCTTGCATAACACTGCTGTACTTCAATATCGAACCTGAAATTATTCTCCTGCCAGTCGCAGTGTTTCATTCTGGGAACTTCAACCTCAGTTTTATCAGTTTTAGTAAAAACGTCTGCATGAGGGACGCTATGCACAGGCAGTGAAAAGGCAAAGATCCCTTTGATAGGCCATGAAAGCAGTGTTCAAGAATCGCTTCAAGACCAGAGAACGTGCTTGCTCCAAGGAGCAGCTTGTCTTTTGAGTAATACAGTTTGTTGAACTGTGGCATGCTCTGCTGCACCGGTTCCACAGATCGCTTTCTTCTGGAATACTGGGAAGTCGGATGAGATATTGTTCCTGTTTTGCTGAGCTTTTTTAATGCATGCTTTTTTATTGCCGTAGTTGCATGTGAGGACTTTAATGTAAACAAAAAGGCTGACATTATTATTTTAAATTATGGGACATTTGTTTGCCTTTTAGGTATGCAGGAAGATAACCATAACTATTTACAGTTTCCCCTATAAATCAGCTTTTTATTTTATTCCCTCCTGTAACTCATGTGCCGTGTACCACCTTCTGCTACTAGCACTGAGAACTGAACCAGCTGCTTTTGGTGATAGTTTTGTAGACCCTTCAATGAATGTTTAGATGAGACAGCTACAAAAGTGGTTGGAGCTATGGAGAGCAAAGCAGGTAGTGTGTCATGACATCCTTCTTGCAACAAGAGCCTCCTTAAGCATGTAGGTTTATTGTCACCAAAAGCTGCTCCCAGAGCTTTGCTGTTCTGATAGGCTCCAGCCCAAACCTGCTCCTGGTTTGTTCTGGTATCAGCAGTGTTTTTTGGCTCAAATGGTTTATTTCTCTCCCTAGTGGTTATCTTTACTGTCTTAGAGGGAGCAGTTGCATCCCCCGTAAATCCCCCTGGATCTCCACTGTGCGTGCCGGTCTCTGTGCTTGCTGTCAGCGATGGAAATCCTCCTTCAGCCTCCTGTGTTTCTTGTGCCTCCTTTTTGAACATGGGTAGCCTCTCTCTTGCAGTATTCCAGATGGGATTTTAGCAGTGCCTCTTACGTACTTCCCTGAACTTCTTATCTGTGTTGGAAATGTTGCTCTGGACACATCCCAGGATTGTGTGTGCGTTTTTCACAGCTGTATCTCAGCGGTGACTCACAGCCATTTTGTGCTAGGATGGGCGAGTGCATCCAGGCCTTTCTGCTCCAGGCACTGATCATCCTCCAGTGTCTACCTGGGGCTTGTTTAGTTTATATACATGATTGTGCATTGTATATTAGTGACTTTCATCCCACTCTTAATGGCTCCAGTCTCTAAGGCCATGGCGCCAGTTGTATAACCACTCAGTATGCCATCATGTTCAAATCGCTTCCCAGCTTTGTCACCAGCTGCCATAATTACTTTTTTTTGTATGCAAGTCATTAATCAGTTAAAATTGAAGCAGAAGACTGTTGGGGTTTGTTTAGTGTTTTCATTAGTAACTTACAAGGTGTCTGCATCTTTTTCTTCCCATGCGATCTGTCGCTCATCTGTTTTGGTCACATTCTTTCCTGCTGGCATGGTTCCTCTACTGGTCTCCAACTTTTCCTGTTTAATGTGATACTGCATGGAAAAGTATTAATTAATGTTTGTTGAAAATCCAGATAGCTGAGACTTACTTACATTTATTTTGACTCAACTCCCGACAGCAAACTTGTTGTATTCTAATCTCTTTGTAGCTTCACATCCTTATTCCTCTTTGTCAGTCTGCTGAAATCTTACCTGCTGTTCATGAGTTCTGTAGCCTGCCTTCTATGTGGCAAGTCAAACTGGATCATGGAAGTACTGGCACTAAAGTCTTGAAATTAATCTATGTCTTCTGCATTTACAGAGGTAGTTCTCTATTGGTTTGAATTTAGTAGACTTTTAATTGAGTGTTTAGGAATTGCATGTGTTGTTTTTGTTGGACAATTTTGAAGACAAAGAGTTGCAAAGAGTGATGTACGTTTTTAAAATGCTTGCCTGGTCATCTGTTTTCCTTCTCTCTAATGGCAGCGGTGGAAGATGATAGCCTTTGTTCCAAAAACCAGCAAATGTGTTTTGACATAAAACTGGCCTTGGGCAGTGTGCCAGCCCAGATGGACTGGCAGCTAGTGATGCCATTAACTGTATGTAAACCTAAAGCTGAGCTAGACGGGTAGTAGCTAGCTTAATGGCTAACTGACTTTTCCTGGTATGGTTTGGTTTCAACAACATGTTTACACAAATTTGTCTGAAGTGGGTTGGAATTCAACAGTTTTCAAATGGTATTATATCCAAGGTAAATATATACAGTATGAACCTACATGCCTGGTCTTTATTTCTGCTCCTCCGATAACACAGTCTTTGTTAAGTGTCTGAACAATTCAGTACTGGTTACATCCTGTGGCCGATACTTGCTTGGCATCCTAATAGACACATAGATTTTCCTGTAGAACTCACATCCTGGTTAAAATAAATTGTAAATGAAGTGATTTGTGTGAGAAGAATATTTTTTGTTCTTATGGCTTTAAACTTTGCTAAAGGTAGTGGTGGGTTAAAGAAATTCTTTATATTAGCTTTGTGATACATCTGACTTGTTGGTCAGGTGTTTGAAGAATATTGCTGTCTTCAGTTTTTTATTTTTAAGGAAAACTAGTTTTGCAATCTGGTAAATCATAGTTTCTTTGGGGGTTATTTTTTTTTGAAGTTTGAGTTGTAGATTTCTGCACGAAACTTTCATGGCATAAGGCTTGTGAAATTAGATAACACGCTGTAGAAAAGCCACCTCTGGGTAAAGTACATCTCTAATTACTGAGACTAAATTATGTGGAAAGTGAGCTTGTGTCTGAAGTAAATCTCCAGTTCAGTAATCTAAAATTAAATAATGATTAACTTAATTGCTTCAGGATCATAAAAACCGCTCTTAATAAAATATAGGGATTAAGTGTGTGTTTTGAGAGTGCATAATTGCTTCTGCTTCATTTTCAATGACTTCTATCAAGACAGCATTCCTAGGTAAAAGAAATACCTTTTGTTATGCTGATTACTGAAGCTAGGAAAACTAGGCTAGTTATTGAGTATACAAGCTCTTTCTCTCTTCTGAATAGAAGCTGCAATTTCACTACTAAATATAAGTTGAACACACTTGCTTTCAATTTCATAGATATGTTCCAGTTAATTCCCTGTGAAAGCAATAGTAGTTGGTACCTGAGGAGGAGAGTGTAGAATTAGTACATGGAAGAAGGCTTTAGTAGGTTTTTTTTCCTCGAAGAAAAGAAAAAGATGGGTAATTTTAATGAGAAGAGTTTGACTTAAAGAATTTGTGGCCCGGGTTAGCAGCTGCATGTTGTTTGCATTGTATTTTGTTTCTAAACAAACTATTTTTACCTCCATTCATTGAAGAATGTCTTTTTTGCTTATAGGCAAATGAGAAAGCAAATCTCTTGAAACATAAACAGTGGTACTTCCCTGGAGGGAGGAGATGGGGATTCTCCTGTTGCTCTGAGTGTTGCCAGGTGCCAGAAGTGGTCCCCAGTGGTGGTGGTAAGAAAGAAATCTTCCCCCACATTTCTGTATTTGCGTTTTGTCTGTAGCAATAAGATGCTTTTAGAAAAAAATGGGGGTGCAAATCCTGTTCTTTTCATAGAGCTGTATGAATTGCTGGGAGAGGCGTCAGAAGTCTCCCACTCTGAGAATTTTAATTTAGGGACAAAACTAACGCTTCAGCTTGTTGCTTCTGTAATATTTGCTCCTGCTCTCTCATGTATGCTATATCTGTTGGCAATCATTGCAGCAAAGACTTAACCACAAATAAACCTTCAGAGGACTCTAGAAATACTTAACTGTTGCCTCCCCCCTTAAATGTTGGTGGGGAACTGTGGCCTTCCAATACTTTAAGGACCTCCTTTACAGAGTTCTTAAAAATCTCTTGAATACTGACTCTGGGGTCATCTTAATCCAAATATCCTTAAATTTTGTGCAGTATCCAGATATAGAAATTTTAAGTTATAGCAGAAAACTTCCTTCTTTTTGCCCTTTTTTTGTAGCCTCTCCTACAAACGGAGACAGCAAAAGTGGAAAGCTGATGAGACCCCAGTGACACAACAGCAGTAGGAAAGGGTTTTTCCAGGACAGGATCTTAAAACCTCAGAGTGGTTTGTGTCAGATGTTGACATTTTAATGATGATCTCTGATACCCTGCCCCTTCATGGGCTATTAGTAGCTTTTTTTTTTATAGGAAAGTAATTTAATCTTGGTGATTTTGCCAAGACCTAGAGCATTCCTTTTGTATTCTGTAACCTTTCAAGGCTTATTATAGGACAAGTAGCGTCCCAAGAAGCTTTCATTTCTGTGAGATATTTGTCAAAGCACTTATTCACAGGGCAGTACATATTGGATCAGCCATAGTCGATGCTCAGGGAATGTATTCTGACCCCATGCAAAGTTATGTACTTTCTAAAGATGTGCATTTTCCTGCTATAGAGGAAGCTAAAGCATTTATCCCAAATCATATTAGATGGGCAAATAACCATCATCTGTGAGCTCCAAATGTTCTTCAATCAAAATTTTACCCCAAAAATCAGTTATTGCAGCTGAATCTGGTAAATACTGACCAACAGTTTTGATGGGTGGAAGGGCACCCAGCAGGTCAATTAATGAAAGTAGCCTTGTTACAGTGTCATGGTGACCAGCTACTTTCAAAACTAGTTCTGCAAAATGCTTTTGCCCAGGCTCACTGCCATTGGTGTAAGAGCAATGCCCCAGAAATACATGAAAGTCCATTTTTATGCTTTTACTGTTTTGTAGCATATTTTTCAGCTTACACAACTGCAACTTTTGCTTTTTTTCCTTGTGTGCAAGGCCTGAAAAGGCCATCAGTTTGACCGTTGTGGAGAAGCTAAAATATGCTTGGCAGGGCAGGATTTTACGAATTGTGCACAGCTCTTGAATTTTCAAGCTCTGCTTCTGTTTGGAAAAGAGAGAACTGGGGCTTCTCCTACCCAGCCCTGCAGGCTGCCAAGCCTGGTACCTTCATGTAGTGCATGCCTGGGTGTCTTATCTTGGGTCAGTAGAAACTGCAAGGAAGAATAATCTGGAAATGAAATGTTCTGAATGAAGTGGATGTCCGTGCTGGAAGCTGCATGGGTTGAATAATCCCATGAATAATTCCTTCAGCCTTCACCTTCTCGATTGTTAAGATAAATCCTGAGCGGGTTGGCAGATATTAATATGGATTAGAGAAATTGTACTGAGAGCTTTTCAGTGTCCCAGTGGATGCTTCTTCTGCGGAACAAATCTCCATTTCATGAACCAAAGCACAATTGGTGCCAACAGGCACACAGTCAAGGAGGTGAGGGACTGAATTATGGGAAGGCCAAATTATGATAGCATTTGCCATAGCAGCCGTCCTTTCCTGTTGGGGTTTATACATAAGCAGAGGCACTATAGGTATCATCTGCTGCTATTGTCCTTATTGTATGTCTTCATGAGGGGATCTCTCTCTCTCAGACTTGCCAGCATTACAATTTGTAACAATTGCTGGAAGATTGAATTTTCATATTAACTTAGTTGGGGGGCCACAGGGAGAGAAAAAAAAAAAATATAAAAATCTTTGCAAAGTACTTGTGGACATAAAGATCCAGCAGGCTAGACCAAAAAGAAGCTCACAAAAGCAGTCATGGCAGTCACAATTTCAAGAGTTTTCTGTCATTCAGGCAAGGAGAAATGTAAAGTACATTGGGAAAACCAGTTACGTTCTCTGCTTTGATATTTAATTTACCAGTGTGGAAGCTGTAGTAATGGGCTATTTCAAAACCTATAAGATAGAGGCCTCTTCCCTGGCAGACTGATGTTCTGAAAAGCTGCTACTAGAGATATGATGCCTGCCGTTAGTTTGGTGTGGTGTGGTTTTTAAGCTAAGAGTTAATTTTGTACAACATGCAGAAATAATAGTCTCTCCTATCAGTTTTTAATAGATAGCACACTGAGTCAGGACTCTATGAAAATGAAAAAGGACTAATTTTTCATGGTAGTCTAGAAACACTCGAGAAGGTCTGGGTGTGTTTGGTACATTACAGGATGGAGCACTCTTCTTGCAAGGTGAAAAGTGTTGCTCTGAACTCTTTCCGGACAGGGCGAATATTGTTTCCATGTTTTTTACTTACTTCAGCATGTTTCCTCTAACTACTCAGCCTGTGTATAAGAGGTGAGCACCAGAAGATGAGCACCAGAAGATCAGTTCTACTTGTTGGGATTTTTATTTGGAAGAAGTGAGTTTGACAACTGTGTTGTGAAGCATCGGTCCTCTTGATCTTTGAAAACAGTCAAACTGCATCCCACTAAACTTTGCCCCTCAAAGCTTAGGGAAAGAGCAGCCTTGTTGGACAATGCCTAGGACCCAACCCTCTTCAGCCCTGACAGCATGGTCACTGCTTTGGGCCAGCACAGGGACCACTTCTAGCTGGGGCGGGGGGGAATCAGCTGCTGCAAGTCAAGGACCAAGGACCTACAAACTGGATTTCCTAAAGATATTTATTTTGAGAAGAAAAAATAAAACCAAAGTAAAAGTGCTTTATAAGAAGCTATAATGACATTTACTCCTTACTCTTTTATAATTGTTTTGAAAATGTCAATGTTTCCATGGGAGCAATTATTTTCACATGCTTTTTAAGTTGTGAAAGCCACACATTCAGGACCTTTGACAGTATTTTCCAAAGCAGCAGAAAGTACAGATGGGAATATGAATGCCGTCACAGCATGTGATTCGGGTTGATATTATTATGCCTTACCAGCAAGGCCAGTTTTGTATCAAGGGTTCATTTGCCCAATCTCTGCACCTGTGCCTCCCTTTCCAACTTAGAATCATAGAATTGTCTGGGTTAGAAGGGACCTTTCAGATCATAGAGTCCAGTCATCGACCTATTGTGGTGGTCAAGATTAAGTAGCCTGATGCACATGAGTGGCTTGGCCTGAGACAGAGGAGATCACACAACCAAATACATTAGTGATTGAAAACAGCTGGCAAACAAAGGACACCCCCCCCCCTAAAACCAGAACAAGCCTCGCTCCTGCCATGATGTAAGGAGAACAACAGCAAGAAGGAAGCTCAGTGCAGTGTGAGCAGGTGATGCAACTGCTGGGATGGTTGTGGCAACTTCTGGTGCCATACTGTAGTGGAGAACAGGTGTACATGTTGGAGCTGGATGGGTGAACATCAGCTGGCCAGGAGCATGGGCTGCTCATGCTGCACTGCAGGGCCAGGCTACAGAGCATGTTTTGGAGTTCCCTTCTTGGATGGCTGTCAGGACAGATACTCCTTACCCTGGGTTTTGCCTTGTTTATTCAGAAATCATCTGGGTACTTTGGATCCGTATCACAAGACGGGAGCAAAAGTGCTAAGCATCTCCCCATGTAGTTCTTTTTCCTGTACTGAAGGTGTAGCAATGCCACTTGTTATGGTGTGCCCCAGAAGGAAAACATCTTCACTGATTATGACTGTGGGCCAGTGAAGTGCTGGGATTTTTGGTAACATAAACTTACAGCCCAGTTGCAGGTGCCACTGTGTTAAGGCTGTCTGTCCCTCTGTGCCTGCCACTACCAACTTCTCAGCTCTACTAGGTTAACTGTTCCCTAAGTGAGTCTATGGAAATTATCTATTTGCTAAAAAATTCTAAACAGAAATTACAATTAAAAAAAAAAAACCCAAACAGTTTAGGTTAAGCTCTATCTTGTTGCTACAGTCCTGGGATGAGTAAAAGCATCCCTGGGATAACTGTAAAAGCAGTTACACAAGCAAACCCCAGGACATGCTGACCTTAAGCGTGAGTTAAAAGTGAGCCTTTAGCAGTGCCTGGGAGTAGGGACTTGAGAGCAGCGAGTCAGACAAGGCCTGGGACAAGCTCCTGTTTGCCTGGAAGTAATGAACTTAGCTACAGAAAAATAATTACTATAAATGCAGTGAAGTTTCAATTATTATAGGTATTTCCAAAATCTGAATTATTATAGTTAAGGTAAAAGAAATTTAAATTGAATGAATCAAAAGAAGTAATTCATGTTTAATAGGCTTGAAAGTGAACAGCACTGATGGCAGACTAAAGAAGCAATTATACGTTGCTGAGTAAATAGCATGAAGGTTCTTGTTATATGTCTTGATTGGAGCAATACTGATTCTTTTAGATTAGTTGTGGTAATTAGACCAGTCTGGTTGTTTGTTTATTTTAAATTAAGCTAGCCTGGTTTGCTAGACTCATTGCCTATAAATGTGCTCTATATTAACACATTGCATTGAACTGCAGGCAGTCTTTAATATCCTTGAATATGTGATTTTTTTGGCATATAATTGCAGATGAGCTGAGGGTTATTCTGGCAGATAAAAATGAACAATACGAGTGTAAGTGCTGCTTCTCAAACCATTTCTCTGCCTGACTGAGGAGCTTTTGAAGACCAGTGCCAAGCTAGCAACAGTGACATCCAGAATTCAAGTATGGCACACAGGCTGTTTTGAATACAAGACTTTGCTACAATAAACACCTCTGTTTACTAAT